TACTCTTATTTTCTTCCCTTTCAATTTGATTTAAGAGGATTTACTTTTTTTTGGTGGTTTTGCAAGGAAAAAAAAAAAAAAAAAAAAACTTCAAATCCTAATTGGCTGTTCTAGAAAATACGGTAAAAGGGAGCCTGTGAAAGTCGTGCTTTTTTATAACAGAGCAGCAGAATTTCATGCCGGAGGATCATTTTAATGCTGCACGCGAATTCCAATGAAGCAAGGTACGCATGACTTTTAATGAGATAAGGTTTCTTCGAAATTTCTCGTTCAAGCACGTTCATAAAGACAAACGTGTTCGCCTTTGCAATGATGCCAACGTGAGCACTAAAGAGAGAGAGAGAGAGAGAGAGAGAGGAAACAGGTCACCGAAAACATAGGAAACAGAGAAAAGGTGATGCTGTTTCATGAGGTCACTCAATGACTCGTAGTCACACGCTAAGGGTAAGTTTTATTGTCGGAGAAAGAACGTACGCGTGTGACGTGAGCTTTTCATCCACGACTGTTTATGCAACAAGAGTGCCAATCGTACGAGCAAAGTCAGGCTTGGCTTGAAAATCTCTCAAAAAAAAAAAGGGTAAGCTACGACTCTCCCCTTGGATATATTTTTCTCAAATAAAACTGAGCTGATTAAATTATCTCGCGTTTTCTTTCTGCCTTTTCTTTTTCCCTTGCAGCTTTCAAACTACATGAGCAAGCTATATATTTTTCCACCCACCGTAACCAAAAAACCACGGCACAGATGTTAACATCTTCCTTTACGAGAATCTGCAAAGTAGGACACCTGATGGTGCATCCAGGGCGCAACGGCAGACAAAACATGTACAACGCACTACTAATACATCCCCAGTGGCAGGTAAGTATAGGTGGTGCGGGTGCATTACCTGTCTTGTCTTTTTCCGCGCTCGTACAGCTAAGGAGAAAGCGACGAGAGAAGAAGATAGTGGAAAAGAGTTTGCTGAGTGGCAGTGACAGGCGCGCGCCCGGGTGTGGTGGCTGCTCCTCGTCGCGGCTTATTTTAGAAACACTGTTTGCAGTACGACCCATGCGACTGACAGTTCATCGGGTCTTCAGTGCCGGCGCCTATATATGCACACCCACTGCGGATGTGCCGCGACTTACTCTTTCCCCCATCTCGCCGCGGGTAGACTCCTGTCAGTCGCTCCCTCAGACGCGCTCGCGGAAAAAAACTACTCCGGCTTGTACTTACATTTTCGATGAGGTATCCTCGGCGCTTTTGCCACGGCTGCTTCCCCCCCCCCCTACCCATTTGGATCCTGAAAATCGATGGCATCTGTTCGAAGGACGATGCGTCGTGAAGTTAAATAGAGGCACTGTTTTGAATAACAAGCTGAAACCAATCGAGTGCAGCTTGAAACAAGTGTTCTGATAATCATCGCTGGTATATAAAACAGATGAGATTCCAGACGAAGGTACCATACACTCGGTTGTGAAACAAATCGAATAGAAAAAAAAGCTGGATTCGCAGTTATAACTTCTCCAAACGCATAACTGCAGCACTGAAAAACAGAATAGTACTTAGAAAACGGGGACTAATTGAAAGTAGTTGCGGCACCCCTCTACGGAAAAGGGAAAAAAACCGCCCTTTTTTTCCCGAACTGGTAGAGAATTTCTTCAGGGGAATCTTTCTCGGTCGATTGCGGCTGAGCATCGCATTGCTATTCGGCTGATGTACCGCACGCAAGGAGAAAGTAAACCAGTGGGGGACTAGCCATTCGTCATCGACGGAGATATCCGCGTGGATTTGCAAGGCTCTTTGCACCGCTCTTGTGCACAACGTGGGTCCGGTAGTAGCATTATACACGCATGTAAAGCAGTGCGTGCGCCGTGTCGTAAAATGTAAATCGACCCGGCAACAGCAGCGGTGCCACAGCAGTAGCACTAGTAGATAGGTACGAGCTTCTCTCTCGAATAATTGCGCTCTACCCGCTACTGCATGCCAGGGGAGGGTGTGTGTGTGTATGTGTATATATACGTGTACGCATTGGAGGATGAGAGAGAAGGGGAGGGAGGGTGAAAGAGGATAGTGCGAGAAAGGAGGAGCACTATCTCCCTTTGAATTTCATATGCGCAAGCTGATATGCCGTGTACACTATTATCCTTGCACGGATGTGATATTAAGAAAATTATGGTACTCAAGCTCGTAGAGTCGTCTGAGTGTGTGTGTGTGCGCATACAAGTGGGCGGATTGTATTTTACAATAGAGGACGGTTTACCGCGTGTAAAGAGGAGAAATGGAAGTTCCGTTCGGTTTCGGGTGTTTCGACCGACCAATTTATGCAGATTTTATTCCGTGACTTATATCTGGTGATTGATATTTTATAATTTTCACGCTGTTGCACGGTTGGGTAAATCATGTGCTTGGGTTCCTGGCACTATTTTCTTGTTCAAATGATTCTTGGAATACGTCAAAACCCTCAAGAGTATCTCAGATCCGGGTACTGAAAATTTTAAGTAGTACAAGTAGCCGAATAGTCAGCCGTACGCTTATAACAGCTTTGCTTTGCAATAAGTAAGGCAAATTCCATTTTTTTATTGCTTGTACTAGGATTTCAGTATCACAAGCTCATCCGATATGTATTTCGATGATTCGCTTTCACTGTAAAATAAATGATAGTTATACATTAACTTCTTTTTTACGTTTTGATGTCTGAGAAAATAAATCCCGAAATTTCAATCAAATAAGTGACCTGCATTCATAGATTTTTCATGAATAACAGAATAAATTTCATCAAGATTTCACATAAATTTGGAGATCATTCATGCTTTCAGCAAATACAATTATTATTTCTAATACTGTATTCAAAAGTACTGGAAAAAATCCAACTCTACGGTATTTGTCTCTCGTTAGCCTGTTACATTAATTTGTAGTAAAGATAGCTAGATTATTACTAGTTAATTACGATTGTGCCTGGATTTATCAATAATAAAATGTTGATTGTTCACGAAAATATTTGTGTGGCTTTCCACAACCATTAGTATACAAAAAAAAAAAGATAGAGTCAGCAGGTGCGTCTATCTTTTCAGCTTGGAACTCTCAAGAGCAACGTGCGAGGGAGTCCTAGACAAGGGAAGTCCAATGAAAGTGTCATCACCCGAGGTAAACACGATTTCTTGCTCCACACTTTTTAAACCCCAGCTCTGTCAATTGCTCTTCTTTATAATGACGACTTTACGTGCAGGCACGAAAAAGGTGAAAGGGCTGAGTGTATATATAACCACGTGTCACTGGAAAATTCGTCGTCGCATCAATAGCTTTTCTCGTTTGCAGACGAATTTTTCTCTCTTGATTCTACCTATACTACATGGATTTATTGCACCCGGATATGCTATAGCACGAGCTCGTGCCAATGGAGAGAGATAATCTAAGTAAGTTTCCTTCGGTCGAATCGAATGAAAGTCATACAGGTGTCCTCACTACCAGCACTTTTTTCTCTAGCTACGTTCTCTTCTCGATTTTACTTCGTGTGCCGTTAGGAGGCCAGTTTAAGTATCAACTACTACAAAATCTTGTAGATTCCCAAGTGACACAGAATATCTCCAGATGTTTCGTAATAGTAATAGTGAATATACAATATTAGCTTATGTTTGCTCCAAAGCTCTCATCAAACTTTGACGTTCATATCTTTACATCTTTGAAATAATCACTAGTCACATGCTTGTCGATTGTCCCTTTTAAGGTATTTTAATCATTCTTTCACTTCGAGCTTATGTAGTATCTGGTTATGATATGATCTATACTTTATTTTTTACCATATCTACAGTGCTGCATCTTGTTCTCGCTATTAGACTGATATTATTAACCTTTTTTCCTTCTATTCAAATACTTAGAGATTTTTGATTTTTACAACTTTGTGTTACTTATTATATACTTTGCACTTCCTACTTTACTTTCTATATTTTGCGGTTTTCCACCTATTAATAAACATAGACGTTTGATAGCGAATGGCATTATTTATACAAGTATAGATGGATAAAAAAACGTTAGGATCTACGTACGCGTACGTGTGCTGATGAGAGAGGGAACGAAGGAACCTTTTACTACGTGGCGAGTCCCGTGGAAACAATTAATCTAGACCCCTGATTACTCCTTGCCAAGTCTTCTGCCATTCTCCCCCCGACTCCTACTTCTCTGGTTCTCTTAACTTGCGCAGCCCTTTCTCCTACGTCTATATACCCGTCCGTTTGTGTTTGTGTCTCTCCGGGCACTTTCTCCCAACCCCTCTCTTTCGTGGAGACGTCAAAACTCGAGATATTAATATGTTCTGCAGAGTCTCTCTCTTTCTCCCTTTTCTAATTAAATTATTAGTGTCTCTACTCTTCCGAACGTTGTCTGCCTCTTCCGGTAGTGGAAGTGGTAACGGTGCTTTTCACCCAGCGACGAGATGAGTTTGGCTATTCGGCGTCAGTAAAAGCTCGATTCGATTATGTCAGTATCCTTCCGATGTTTTATAACAATCTTCCATTCGTCAATTCATTTTTTAATTAGGTACCTATTTTTAAATAAATTATTGAAATCTCTTTTTATTCCACTGAGAAAATTACATTTTTAATTTGAAAATTAATACTTACGATTCAATCATTCTTTGAGTTAAGAACATTTACGTGATTTCAGTGTTAATTAAGTACTTTATAATAAAGTCAATAAATTATGTAAAGATATTCAAGTATTACAAATAATATTGATTATTACGAGGTTTCATTATTTTTATTCCCATTACAATTAACATGAGTTTTTATTTAAAAATCTTAGAATGGCATTATGAATTTAGATTAGAATTTACATCAATCAAGATGTACTGATGCTTAAGATGATTCAGCTACTAGTGTAAGTTTAATTACAAAATGGCTTCGATGATAAGCTACACTTAAATTTTTTCATTGCCTCAAAAGTTTTCATTATTTTTAATGAATCTGTATCACCACACAATAAATATAGCATAAGGTTCTGAGGAAATAATTAAGATTCTCGAACTCACCGACAACATGCAGGTAACCATATTGCGTCTTTGCCGTGGCAGTATTAATTTGGCACATGTACCTGCCCTTGTCCTCCTCTTGCACGTCGTTGATATGCAGATACCAAGTTGTATGCTTGTCATGCGATACGGATATTCGCGGATTTCTCGTTATAACGTGAGATTGCACCGTCAGAATGGCACTTTGGTCGAACAGCATCCACGCGACCTAGAAATCAAACATTTTTCAAATTATCATTACTCGTGATAAACAGGTGAAACGCGCAATCAAAAATACTTTTAATGCGCCTAAAATATATTTGTACAGAATTGTAAGTGGTTAGATAATAATAAATGAATATTTTAATTAGTGGAATTAAAGAATCAACCTATGGTTTTTCGAGTAATTAAAAAAATTATTTGCTTCCTTATTTGTTTCGTTAATAAAATATCGCTATTTGAAATTAATTTGGAATGAAAAAATTGAAATTAAAACAAGAGATCACGTTGAACTCGATGTACTTTCTACAATCAACACAGTCTACAAATGATCAGGGGAAAAAAAAACTTCCCCATAAAACCAAGTTGAGCTCGAATGGGGGTAAAAGCATCGCCGAGAGGGATACCAACTTATCCCCTCGGAAATCAATAAAAGTAATTCAACCCGACAGGCGTGCAGGTGGTATGGCCGGGTGAGGAGCTTTATAGGTGTAGCGGCTCTACTAATTCGACGAAAGATCCACCGAACTTTCTCTCCTAGCCGCCGAAAAAGGCATTATGAAGGTGATACGTATACGAGAAAAAAAAGGGGGGAGCAGTATCCAGACGCTTCAAGAGATAGATTCAACGGGAAAGAGGACGCGATCGAATGGGAAATTGCACCGAGAGATGTCGGGGGATCCCATGAGGTACAGCAAAGGAGGAACGAGGAGACGTAGAAATGATCCGCGGAGTTGGAGGAAAGGAGGGCGGCTGTGTAAGCAAATGGAATCCCTTTGTAACGAACGATATCTTCTTAAGGGATTATTGTCGTTACGCCTTTCCATCGGCAGCACGAGTTACCGTGTTTATTTTCCTTTTTCGATGTTTTGTCTTCTTTTTCTTCTCGTCCGCGCGTGCTTCATTAGACGCGAGTGGGGGCGCGCGCGGGCGTCGGGAGGAAGCGGGAAAATTTTCTGTTATCTGTTATTGCTTTTGTCGAAATACTTGAGCCACGTGCACCCACGGCTCGTTGATTGTATTAGCTTTAACGCAAAATAATTTTAATTGAAGTGCACCTGCTCAGCCGCGCGTGCGTTTTCATTATTGGCGGAACAATCAAATTTTAAGTTATTAAGGAGTGTTGTTTTTGCGACGCCACTGGCCTTTGTTTGATCACTGGAATTTCAAACTTTCAATTTTGTAAAATTACACCGTTGGTAATGGAATTATTTATTCGTGAGCCAATCGTTGGTTTGTTAGCTGCTGCGTCCCCCTTTTGTTGTGATTTTGCAAGTGTTTCGGTCCATAATATTGAAAATTATAATTTTTCTCACTAACGATTCCATTCGATTAGTAATTAAATATTTTCTTTTTATCGCGAAATCCTCATATATATATCGAGTATTGTTCATTCTGCTAAAATCATAATGAATTAAAATTCAAGTGTCTAATAAATTGTTTTAGCGACCAATCGAAGAAATAATGTTGACAGAAATCTAGTGTAATCGTGAACAATGAAATTTGTAAATTCTGTAGGTGCCAGCTGAAATGAGTTTCCAGTGCTGTAACGCTCGCTAATAAACATTGCACTCGTGAAATGTTTCACATCCATCTCTATTGAAAAAAAAAAAAAAAAAAAAAGACAAAGTTTACTCTCACAGTTAATTATTTCCTCATGAGTTAAAGCCCGAGTATACACAAAATACCTTCAAATCGATCGTAAAGCTCCTGAACATATCCATACCCCGTGCGGTACCCCAATCCACGTTAAGCAGAAAGAAGAGAAGAGACCGACACGACGTAACAGCTATTCATAAGGCTCGTCTGCCGCGCAAAAGTTGGCCCGAGCGCGTATATACACTCGTACAAGCCCGGAAAACAGTTTTGAGCCCCGCAAACTTTCGGATGCGATTCGCGGAGCCATGGAATATTTATGCTTCCCTCGCCAGCGCGAACCGCCGAAACTACCGAGACGCGAGACGGAAGCATTTTAATAACGCGCCACTGCGGATAATCGTCATCCCGCGTGCACGCCTCGCTAATTTTCTTTCCATCAACCACACCCGAGTGCCCGTCCTCACAGATGCAGGACACGGAGAGGTGAAACGATGGGAAAAAAAAAAATCCAGGAGTTGTGCACTAATAGTGATCGATACGACGAGGAGTCAATGCCACCGCGCTATGGACTCTAATGTGGATTGATGCGGATGTGTTATTTAATTACTCCCAGTTTTGGAATTGTGAAAACTCACCGGGGCAACGATCCCGCGAGTCCTCGATGTCACGTATAAACTGGACTACCGCTCATTTTGAAAACGTAAAAAAACAGTTTGTCCAATAGCGAGGACACGCGTCTTTTTTCTTGTCAAGTAAATGATTAAAGGAGACACACATTTATGTACTTACGTATTATTTGAAATGACAAAAAACAGTAAAGTTTTTAAAACAAAAAAGCCCAACAACTGGAATTACCGTACCTGAAACCCCGTGAATGGATGTTTTTCACGGTAGACGGGGCAATCGGCGCAACTGCCGAATACCTCAAACCACCCTCTTCCCCACGTAATAGCCCGAGCGCGCAAAACATCCCAACCGCGAAATATGAAAAACGACGAGGCATCAGCGTCAGACAAGAATAAGAACAACCGCTGTCGCGCGGTCCCTCCCTCGTGGATATACACACGCGCATACACCTATAAGACGGAAGCACGTCAGAGAGAGAGAGAGAGAGAAGAGCGCATGCATGCAAAACTAAAACGGCCTTCCTGAGAATATGGATACGGGGGGGGGGGTAGTTGGGGGGTGGTAAGATGGATGTCGTGGCGAGGAGTTCGTTTTCTCGTCGCGAGCCAGAGCGGAGGAGGAGCGAGGGAGCGGCGCATTGATTCGTCGTCGTCGCGAGAGTTACAGCTTTGTTTACTACGCTGGAGGGCCCGCGCCGTCCAGTCTGGCTCTCTCTCTCTCTCTCCTCGCTTCTGGCTGCATCCCGCTACGCTTATCTCCCTCGCTCCTCCGAGGACGCCGGCAGAGCCTCGCCCTGGGATATCTTTTCCCATCGCTCTCGCTCTTTCCTTCCCTTGCGACTTTCAGCTTTGCTGCTCCTCTGTACCTTACTGTACCCACACACACACACACACACACACAAAAGGTAGACAGGCATAAAATAAAGGCTGGGCCTCCCGCTGTACTCGCACGTTTTCGATCTTTCATTCGTATTCTCTTATCGCTTTATGTTTCGCAATAACTTTTTCCTCTGGCCTCTTCTGGTTTTTACTTATTTTTCCCGCTACAACGAGGATTGAGCAACGCAAGAGGAATTCTTTTCGGACGATGGATTCGGTCTCCGTGGTTGATGTGTAGTATGGCCCAAAGTTTTTCGTACGTCGACGATTCTGTAGTAGACCACGCGATGTGATAGTAGAGTAGTGTTGGTTGAGGCTTTGGTTCAATGCAGTGCTACTACTTAGTAAACGTAAGTTTTTTCCGTAGGATGTTTTACTCTAGGATATCGATGGTACACTTCTAGCGAGTCGTGTGTAATTAAGTAATGTTGTAGATCTTGTCAAAGTAAATCAGGAAAAATTTATTAAAAAAACAATTTATTCACGCTATACAAATGTCCTTCAATTCTATATGTAAGAATATATACGTGCTCCACAAGGAAGAAGCTGGCTTGTATACGGTATTCATAAAAAATTTTTTTGTTAAAACGTTTCATTTGTGGTACATCAATCTAAAAAATTTTTAGAAAATACATTTTATATCATGTACATAAGTTATAAAAGCAGTTGAGCCTTGACTGCGAAACAATTTTACTCACGTACTCGCGACTTAACAGTACACAGTATTCAAAAAACTCTTGTGCTCTCGTGCAGTGGTATGGTTACGTAATTATGTATTCAAATAACAATGCTGTAACCAACATTCGAAATTCCATGGAATTCTCCACAGCAATATACCTTTTTTGAGGTAATCAAAACCCAAATTTACGAGAACAAGTTGTTGAATGTATATTATGATCGAGTTTTTAAATACAAATAAATGTTCAACAGCTCTATTAAGACATGTTGATCGAAACGTAAGAACATTTCGTAATATCTTATTAAAAACGGAATCCAGCCCCATTCGAATGGATCGATTTACATTCCTTTTTCACGACCGTCTGACCATTCATCTATTTTTCCCCTGAATCTCTCTTTTCCTAACTTCATCGTGCTCATTACGCCCGTACGCTCTACTGCACGTTCTCAACTTTCTTGCAAAAAAGAAGGGGTCATAATGTATACTTTGCATCAGCTCCTAAACTGCTTTTAACTCTACTTCTCCTCGGAAAACAAAACGCCGGGCCTCTCCAGCGACTTGGCGGCAAATTGCTTCTGACGGCACTTGCCGGCATTAACATACGGCATTAAGTTCCTAAGATCTGAGAGTATGAAGTTGGGAAACACGAGCGGCGAGCGACAGTGGTCGCGCTCTGATGGGAAACCGTGGGGGGAGAAATCGCCAAAGCCCGATGTGTAAATAGAAGCACGGGCGCGTTCGTAAATGTGTCAACGGGTTTATTGATCTGCTTTTATGAGTTGAGTACACATCGGAGGGGTATCCGTTTATTTGATTTACTTAGATATGATTGCACGATCCCCGTTTGGTTAGCTTTGATCAGCTTACCCGAAATATAATATCATCGCTATATTTTTTTGTCCACTTTTCGTTGTGGGTGTACGGATTAACGTGGATTTCATCGTACGAGCGACCTATCCGTTTCTATTTTGGTGCTTTGGATGGAATCTATACTGTTCGTACGCGTAGATTTATGGAGTATTGATCGGTAGGACTTGACTCGTTCCACTTGTTAATTTGTTCATATGATATTTTTGTACGGTTAATTTGGAATATTAGATTCAGGGATTAACATAAATTTTTGATCCATTAGAAGAGCCATAATGCTAAATGCAAATTCAACGAGCCGCAAATTGTCGGAATATGTGATGATAAAAGTAACATTAGTTATCGATGCATTGACTGAAA